AAAAGTCACTATGTTTACTTCTAAACAACCATAATTATGCAATGTACAATATCTAAGTATTGATGTTATCCGGAATCAAATTTCCATCTTTGACACTTTAATGCGAGTAAGAATATCAACTACATGCACATAGCTCGGGCTTTACAAACAATAGTTTTTCGTCCCGTACAACTGATAGAATTTATCAGTTCTTGCTTAGATTTTCACTTACAGTACCATGTGTCGTTATGTGGACAGTGATATAACAGAACTGTAGATTAGTTACCAGATGATTGCAATTATTCAGAAGATCTGGTACAGTAACGCGTATGTAAAGAAGCCTAAATATCTGGTATTATGTATTACTAACAGTACGGTACAAGCTATAAGTGGGCTGGTATATAAGGTTAAGCCCATAAAATAAAAAGGTATATTCTTTACAGGGATCTATCTATGTGTCAGTCTGCGTCATCATATTGATTAAAGATATAACAAGTACAATATCCAATAAGCTCGTATTTTTGTTTCAGTATATCTGAGAAAAAATTGGGCCAAAGCCTTTTTACTTTAGGAACATTTGTGGGTATACAGAGTAATCATCGTTAATTAGCGAATTTTGGTTGCTTTAACAGTCATTGAAAAACAGAAATCAAAAATATGTATCAATTTCATAATTTTATGTAACGCTGCTTTACGCTAAAGACCACAATCTGTTTGTGGCCCTAAGTGTAATGCAAATATTGTAGTCGTTCTAAGGATACTTTAATAATCCGTTTCAAGCGACATGCAAACATAAAAGAACTATTAAAATTAGCAATACGACAGTAAACAATTGCCTATCACTACTACAGAAATTAATTAACAAGATTAATTTGAGGACAGGCATTTCTCAACGAAGAATTGTTTTATCGATTTTACCTACTATACTATTTTCCAGTTTGATATAGTAATAATTCCTTTACGAGTAATAGAGCTACGTTCCTTCCAAAATAATTTACCTAATCTTTCTAATGCTCTACTTTTTAAAATTATCGCGCAATGCGGACGCATAGGAAAAATAACCGATGCAATTGCTGTTACTAACAAAAGTAATCTACCAGAAATATGAGGATTGTTGCAATTACCTGCCATTCTGTGCTACTTTAATAAAGTAAAATCACATTAATATACTTATTTTTAATTTACTAGATAGAAAATTGATTAAGCAATCTGTTACAAATTGCTGCATAATAAAATAGTAAGTAACCGAAAATAGTTCTTATGTGAATATAAAAATTATGTAAAAAGAAGTTAGCATATAAATAGTAAACAAGATAATAGAATAAATGTCGCGGAACGCACAAAGTTCCGGACGTGAAAGAGCACAAGCTGAGGATTCATCGTAAAGAACGTAAGAAACCCTGGTCCGGGCTAGAAAAACAAAGTGTAGTGACTGCAATCACAAAATAAGGTATCACTAAAAAAAGAAAGCATGTCACTGAATCTCTATTATAATATTATGATAGGAATTCTTCATGAAGGATTAGAGGTAACAAAGCCGAAAATTAAAGTTGAATCCTGACTATGTATGACATACTCGTACTACATCCCGATCATAGTACTAAATATTGCAACAAATGGTAAACACAGTAAATTTACGTTAAGCTAAATGACGGCTTCTGTTATATAAAGGAAAAGTGTGCATTTATCACAAAACAGCTTTGCAACAAGATAACGTAATGTACGATCAATAAGTCAATTCCTTGAACCACGTATCAAGGAACGATATCTGCTCTATCAGAAACACTTTTGCTCTTATAGCAGACTACACAAAGACTTAACGCCCAGTATTTTACGTTAAACGCTTAGTTTAAGAATCCACTTTATTACTTGATATACTGCATTTATATACTATTCCTTAATAGTTCATTAATCATAGTACGATTAACTTTGGAATCATTCATTGAATTAGATATTAATCATAGCTACTGCTCCCTTATTGCAGACAACAGTATTTACGAACATAGACATCTGATGACTAATACAGAATCGTCAGATTATGATATGTTCTATCACGGAACATTTCCACGATAATTTACAATCTATCATAAGTAAGTTACAATCACAATGATTCAAACTGTAAGCAGATGATTTGCATTCCCTATTATAACTATTAATTTCAGTATGTGTATATGTGTCACTATCGAAAAAGTTAGTGCTATATTAGAACACAGTATATCCAAATTAGAAGTTAACTAAATAAGGATAGGCTAACAGAATTATCCTAAGATAGATATTTCTACACTATTACAGTATGTAACACTGTCACAACATTTTATTCATAGAATTTATTAGGTATACTGCAGAAGTTATATACGCCTGCAATAAAAACTACATCATTAGGGAAAATTTTCGATCCTTTATGAGTAAATAAAAATTAGCTATAAATAATTTATAAAGCTTATCACATATTTATATAAGGATGCTTGACTATTTTTGTATCGGTGCTTAATACATCAAAAGTAATACATGTATCGAGTTCTTAAATGGTCTGGTCATTCTCATTTTGAAATGCTACGGGTTTATTACTTAAAGCGATAATAAATACCGTATCGTATATGAATGAAGAAATTACATCTTAATATAAGTCTATCGCAACTGTGAGTGTAACAGTAAATATTCACCGCACAACTTCCGTATGTGATAATTAGAGATACTAGCTACGTAATACTAGAGTAAGTTCTTAACCAACAGTAAAGTACAGTCAAAAAACTTTACCGGTAGCTGCCTATAAATGTCGTTATAAGTTGGTAATAGAGCTGATGTAGTGTGTCACAATAAGGAGAAAAATAGAAAAGTCAATTTGAGCTAATTTGATTGCTTTTAGAAGCAATTTTAATATTAGAATAAGGGGCTATTACGGTGCGAATAACAATGAAGAGTAAATAACTAAATTTAGTGGTCAACATTTATATGTGGAGATAACTAATAATGACTAACAGGAAGAACTACGGTAGTTATTATTTTATTACAGTAAATTATGCTGTACTGTAGTAAGAGTTCTTATACGGTAGCTAAAGTTAATTGATTATAGGGTTGTCTTGTAACGCTTGTCATGAATATCCTAAAAATATTCAATTATAGGTGATACGATAAATAATTCTGTGTATGGACATACTGTAATCTAATTAAAAAGAATCATTCAGTAAATGTCTAAGGTTATAAATGATTTCTATATTAATTTAGCCATCCAATATGAACTAAATTTCATGAACTGTTATGACTCATACATGAAAGCTGCTGTCAAAGGGTATTAAGCTTGGCAGATAGTTGAATAATAAAGGAGTTCTATAGTTGTTTAATGTAGAAACAAAGCGTCAAAGTTCTCGTGAGATACTAAAGGGATACTGAATCCGGAGGACTATAGTAATTTAGAGATTTGTTTTAAATTATCTTTGTCACAAAGCTGATTTGTGACAGTCTATTATTACACTCGAAAATTTTTCGTATATATCATTCGTAATACCAAGATTATTTGGTAATATATTTGGATCGAACCTGCAATCTTATAATTAGTTAAAGTAAATGTTTAATGCTATCAAAATCAATGTTTACGTTAGAAGAAGAATGATACTCGATTCCACCCTACTCTGTACGTATATGAAACCATAGATATGTGACGTATAAATATAAATAATCTTAGTGACTAGATTATATTATTATATTTTTTCATTAACTTCTTAAGAATATTATATTTTCAAATAAAAAGTACATTAAAGGATTAAGTGAAAGCTTTATTTGAAAACATAGATATTTGGGTAGCATAAATATTTTCGTTTATTTTCATTTGAAATCCTCAAAAGTTGTTCAAGGCATGGAATTTTTCATAGCTACATCAGACTCGTCAGAAATTGCTATTATTAGCTTCTTGAAAAAATTTAGTACATCTATGCAAAATATTCTACCGAGAATCTTACTGAAAGTTATAATGTTGATGTTGTTGCCATATATCGGACTTATAATGATTTGATAAATTTTTCTATTTATCTTCGATGTTAAATTAATGTTTTTAGTCCGTAAAATTTCTAAGTGGTAATAATATTCCACTCTTCAAATCTAATCTTTCCATACTGATGATATTTATACGGAATTAAATAAAGCTGATCTAAAGCTTATTGATTAAAGTAGTTGAGCAAATATCGCCAATATAAAGTTTGTTAGCGATTGAATAAGAAATTTTTTTAATTTTTGGATCTCAAGTATATTTTGCATATATGTAGTACTACTCATGGCACACCAATACACCTAAATTTTGCAAAATACTATTTCTTAATTTCAATGTTCAAAAGTATACGAGATATAATAGCATAAAATAATAGAAATTGTCACAAAAATTGTTCTTGATTTAAACGAAAATTATAGTTCGAATGCGTAATTTCATTTACTTTAGGTGGCTATTAAACATGTACCTTTTACGGATTAGAAGTTTAGCATTTGATTTAATATTCTAATTCAAAGGAATCATTCTTAAAGTCTGTATAACTATTTGGTAATTGAATGAGATACATATTTTCCCTTTAGACCTGCAATTATTGAGATTAGTGCTTAAAAGATATTTAACAAAATAATTTTTCTCACATTTACCATAAGCTAAGTCATCTCTTTGAATTATTTGATAAGATACTCGCTAATATTCATTTGTGCTCTTATGGAACATTATTACTATTTTTCCTACTTATAACAGTATTATAATTTATAGTAAAGCATAATTTAGATTGGTTTTTAGTATTACTAAAATATATCGATTATTAGGTCAAGATTGAAGTGGCTTTTAAGACTAAATTTCAGAATAGAGTTTTTACATTGGGATGAATAATTTCTAGCATGAAAAAAATAATCGCTTATAAGTTATGATTCACTTAATTCTTTACTTAATTTTTCACATTCCAGTTCATACAAAACTATCTAACAATAACAGCGATCTTTAAAATAATCAGAAATGAACCTTCGATTTTTAAAATTTAAATTAACATTTCAATCAATTATCCGGAAGCAACTTGACTAATTTTAGGAATAATCGATGATTTACTTTTCTGTAGACGAAATAGATTCAGAAAAGCATGCCTAATAGTATCTACAAAGTAAGCATACAATAATGGATTGATAGCTGGGTAAGAAAATGCAATGTATCGAGTAATAAACTGCATATTAAGAATAAACTGAACTGATATCGGTAATATCCTGCCGAATTCACTGATAATAAATCCACAAGTATAAGGTAGCATCATCACAATAAATATGGCTGCTAGTATACCCATTTGTATAGATGCATTAATTGTTTTCTTACTGGTTGTTTTTCCAAGCCTATAGTTGCAGCTAATACTTGGTGCAACGGATTTCTTTCGCTTGCTATAAATCATGTAAAAGGTTTGGGAATAGCAAAAGACAATTACTGTTACAGGGACAAAAAACCAACCTAAGAATTTCCAGTAGGCAAAAATTCGCTCTGCAAGAAAATTTCCAGAATGAACAACACAATGACTACTAGATAGCGGTCGAAATGTCATAGCTGGTATAAATGCTGTTGCAAAGGAAAATACCCATAAAATCACTACGATGTATAAATATAACCTTTTATGCACTTTACGTCGATACTTTATAGGCCATTTAACGGCAAAATATCTATCCAAACTCGTAAAACATTGATGTAAGTTATAATTCAGCAAAAATGCTGAACCAAGTAATGGCATAATAGAACAAATTAAACCAAATTGCCGAAAGTAGTCAAATGCAGCCCATCTTGGTAAAATATATATTCCACCAAAGAGGATGCCAATTACAAAAGAACTACTGATTATAACATGAGATTGATTTCGCAATGAACGCGATAAAATTAAACTTAAAAAAAGAACTGAATTAGTAATTACTGCAATAACTCCAATAGCTGTCCATAATTCGACACTATTTTGGGGCACTATGAAAGAAGGTGTTTTATCTGTGACATTGACTTCCATTGCAGTTCCATTTACAGCAGCACTAGAGATATTGTTTTCCATCACTTCTTAATTCTAGTATTAAATGTATGAGCTATAGAGAACTAAATAAGTGCGATTTGTTAACTGAAGTAGTAGCTAATTTAGGAAGATAATAAATAGTTGATGTAATTGGACATAATGTACGGTGTTCGTGATGAATGTTAACCATTACGACTATGGAATTTATTACTACATAAAACATGAGTATTGTTTAATCATCAGCAAACAAAAAAATATTTACGTATCTTATCCATGTCCCATGATGATCAAATTCGATAAATCATAATAGTTTGATATCAATGAATATAATTATTTTAATGAACTTATGAAAAACTATAGTCAGTTTTTGCATGAATCATAATTTACGGTACAAAAAATATATATGAACGTACATTGCATAAACTGACATTTAAGTGCATTAATCAAGCCCTGTTCTGATCTACAAAGGAGTCTTTAAGTTAGCTTCTTAAGAATGCCCCAATGTGTCTTAACGACGTCATTACTGTTTATTTACTGCATAAATTAAACTTCTTTTCTTACGCTATGCTGTATTAATTTATGAGCATATATTATAGACACAGCTGTATTTGACTCGTTGACTTGAAAATAAATATTTGCTATGGTTACATAACACCTGCATTGCTTTACCAGATATTTAAGCCTATCTTAATGTTGTTCGCAGTACTATTACTACAAAGTTTCTAAATCTATTACTTTTCAACGAAGTTTAATTAAACGACAATACCATACTATAATCATTGCGACTTTTAACTTAATATCAATGATTAAATGTTATCATAGCTTATTAATTCATTAAAATATTTTAAAAATTAAACCAAAACATAGAAGTACCAGAAAAATATTCACAAGTACCGATAAACTTAGCAAAACGATTTGTGATAAAACTAGTCTCTTGACTAGTGATATTTGCTATTTTCTGCTATTTAAGTTATTTCCACCCCCTAAAAAAGAAAAATAGTTTGTAAACAATTACATAAAAATTATTAATCTTTTAATTTAAATTATTTAAGACAATATCAATATCTACAGTTATTATGATCTCTTGTCATACAACAATATATAACATAGAAGTATACATAATTATAATTAATAAAGCTTTCTACTGTTTTTGAAGGAATCCTTCAGTTTTGTTAGATTTTTGAAGTCAATATTGAAATTTTTCCTACTATATCTCGTAAAAACTAATAATAGTGAATCATCAATTCAACAATTGTCAACATAAATATTTTAAAACGATATTAGGATTTCTAGAAAGCATCTTTCATTATTAAAACAATATATTAATCACTGCAAACTGCGCAAGAATAAATGTCAATATAATCTAGTTTCAAATGGATTTAGTATTGATAAGACAATCCTCATAGATTTCGTAAGTAGAATATTCATTTTAATTCAATAACTTAATATATAATATAATTTTTAAAGTTTAGTAAAATAAGAGTATTTCGATTGAATTTAATCATTAGCCTTTACTAATAATCTTAAATTTCGCCGACGCCAATCCGAACTGTTGATTTGTCAATGGAGTAAATCAAATCAAACTGGACAAAGATTTGAGAATGTAATACATGTTGCAGTAAAGGACTAAAAGTAGAGTCCTTTATAGCTTTTAGTACGCAACTAGTATTATTTTACTATACAAAATACCTAGAAAATGATAGTGTCTTTAAGTTTTACCCTGCCAAATCATCATGTCGCCGTCTTATCTTCTTCATTATTTTACAAGGTATTATATAGATTACTATATAAGTACCATTAGAGCAAATGCCTAATCTAGAGAAACGGCGTTTTATCGTCTATTCAAATTGTAACAAAATTTGACTTAGTAACAAAACCCTATCCTTAGAGAAAGGGGATTTATAACATGACGATAAAGTACTGTATATGAAGTCTATAATCGTACAGTTACCGTACAATCTGACGCTAAAACATCAACTGTCAATACTCACGAATACTCAGCAATGCTAATGTCAGAAAAGTAGTCGAAATAATCATATAAATTTTTGGATAAGCGGGATTTTGTAAAGATTACAGTAATCGCTACTTAGCTAATTAAAAAATTTTTTATGACTATCACGATTACTTTTCTGACATTAGCATCGCTGAGTATTGACAGTTGATGTTTTAGCATCAGGTTGTACTATAACTGTACGATGATAGACTACATTATAGTACTTTGCCGTCATGTTATAAATCCCCTTTCTCTAAGGATAGGGTTTTGCTACTAAGTTAAATTTAGTAACAATTTGAATGGACGATCAAACGCCCTTTCTTTAGATTAGGCATTTGCTCTAGGGCTACTTGTATAGTAATCTATATTGTTTTAATACCTTGTAAAATAATGAAGAAGAAAAGATGGGGCGACATGATGATTTGGCAGGGTAAAACTTAAAGACACTATCACTTTCTAGGTATTTTCTATAGTAAAATAGTACTGTCACAAACTTATGTTGCGAACTACTAGACTAAACTAAACTAATAGATTACTGATGCCTTGCTCCACTACACCTGGAGACCTACTGTATGGTAGTTCTTTACTACTTTCGGTCACACAGGGATAAGACCGTTCTAAAAGATTAGTATAGTTTTTATTAGTAGAGTAGCCGAGTACCTTCTCGTACACGATCTAATATGGAACTCAGGAACTGAGCATTCGCTCGTCCTTTTATACCATTCCACTAAATTTATGGTGCATACATAGTAACTTGACAATATAAGATTTACATGATTTGTAGTGGGTGCTAACGTGTCGCCATTATTAATATCTACTGTATATAGGCTCTACTAATTAATTGCAAATACAATTATGCCTTTTATTGTCTAGCAATCTAGACATTAATATTCTTAATTTCAATTATCACTTACCAATATGATCCATTAGCTAAATACTGACAAACTCAATTTAGTTAGCAAGTACGGTGCTTTGCTCCGTAACAAGTACTAGTTACATACTAAAAGCTATAAAGGACTCTACTTTTAGTCCTTACTACACACAGATATGCTAGATATGGCTAGAATAGGAAAACCCTACATACATCTAGAGTTGGCAACTATCAAGATTGAAACATCCGGTATTATTTTAAACTAGTTTGGGTAAGCATTTTGAGAATCTATTCAACAGGTCAATGTTCGCGTTTGCGGTCTTGTACAAATTACATTATATCCCCAAATATATCGAATACTTCAATTATTGTACGAAAGTGGATAAATTGTATGTGAGATTGTAAAATTGAAGAAGTATCTATTTGCACAAGTAGATTATAGTACGTATTGTACCAAAACTATTGAGATGTTTACATATATTAAGATGCCGAGATATAAATATTGATAGAAGTTAGCTTAGTGATAGTCATTGATAATAGTTAGATGAGCCCAACTTATGCAATGAAGTGAAGTTTACAAGAAACTGTAGTTCTTGTTTTAGTTTCGAAAAGATATTTTATCACAAAGGCATTACCTCATGGCGACACAAAAGATTAATTCTGGATACTACTTAAGGTAGATTTATGTTTTAATATAGCGAAAGTTAATAAATTACTCACTTACATTATATTAGCTTATAGAGATTGATTTTGATATATTACATGAGCATATTGTCTAAAAATTTGTTTAATTGACATGCAGGATTTAAATTATTCTTTAAGCTAATTGTTCAAAAATTAAATTTTAAACATATCGAATGCTGCATAGAAAACCACAGTATTTTCTCTGTACGTATATCAGCGCCATTTTGGAAAAATCGTGTTTTAGTAAGCATATAAATCGAAAATCTAATCTGTAAAAGCTGATATTTAAAATAAACTAGATCTTTAAAAAAATACGATTGTTGAATATATTTTGCTATAAAGCTTAGTAATTTTCCTTGATTATTGATTTACTCAGATACAATTACTGAATTCAGCCAGCTATCTAGTCTAAGAATTTTTGTCCACACAATGATCTCAAAATTGCTAGTAAATATTTCCAAATTAGACGCCATAAGAACAAATCACATGTACAATAAAATATCCGGATAGTCTTAAGTCAATATTAGATTAAGTTATATTTCGTCTTGATAATCTTAAGAATTTAAGATTCTATATTACAAAATAGAAGTGAATTTAAAATAGTATTTCATAAATAAAACAGAACGTTACTCCTGCAAGCAAAGATTAACAGTTAGTAATTTAATAGAACGATTTTC